TGCAACCCTCGCGCGGTATGGAGCTGGAGTCGCGGCTAATGGGACTTTCATGGTCTTCGACGTGATCCCGTTCTATGAGGTCAAGTCCATTTGGATTGGCAAAAGCAACGGAGGGAAGCGCCTGGAGTACGCTGACGTCAAGAGAGCGTACTCGAAGTGTGTGGAGAACGAGATCTGCCCTGGCTTTGTCAACTCATCCCAAGAGTCGGCAGCGATGTTCCTCCAGAACGTCACAAAGATCAGCGAGAGGATGCCGGAGACTGAGACAGGTGCCGATAATCTGCACTACATCGTTGACATGGTTAATCGTGCCTGCGAACTCTATCGAATCAACAAGATGGAGGAGTTCAATGCACAGGTCAACGAGGTCCGGGACGAAATCAGCAAAGTCGTCATCCTGAATGATGAGACATGGGAAGGACTGAGGTGCCGGATATGTCCATCATGTGCGACCGCGATCCCCACCTGCTTCTGCTTATGCCTGGAGTGCGAGGCACAACTGATCTCCATCGGAAGATACTACATTCACATCAAATCCGATGACGAGGAGGACAACCAAAACCCCAACGTCTCTGGAGATGCCAGGCGTGCACAGGAAGAAGCTAACCACGATGCGGCAGCACAGGAGGATGAAGACGAAGCGGAGGAAGTTCCGGGAGAAGATGACGACATGGACACGCAAGGATATACATCCGGCTATGCGTCAGAAGAGGAAGACAGCGGTTGGCATTACCGCGACACCGATCTGGCGTCACGGGACATTATAAGTTCCCAACGGATGGCGATCTGCCTTGACGAGCCGCGTGAGGCTCAGTACATGGCAGGATTTATCGCACTCCAGCTGTCCAAGATGTGGGGGATGTTTGAAGGTGGTGAGGAGAGAACGATGAATGCCGGACTCGAAGGGAGGCCGGGCTGCCCTTATCACAATGACTTCAAGAGGTACCCCAACATCACCGATCAGGATCAGGAAGGTATACTCTTACCATCAACAGCGAAGAAAATTTCTCAGTCGGAGAATGTTCGGACGAGATCCTTCCGATCGGTTGAGGAGCGTGAAGATTATATTCGTATGATGGTGTGCAAATGCGAGGGACTTTACACATTCTACAAGCTGTGGATTGCAGCGAGAATCCTCGATGTCACCAAGGAAGAAATGAAGCTCCTGGTCAAGGACCGAGTGCACCCGGTGGGTGATATTATTTTCAGATGTTTTGCACTAGCTTTCAACTGTAAGTATATATCATTCGTGAGGGATGGCCTGAACCTTGGCAAGAATGGTTACACGGTCAACGTGAGCGCCATCATCTCGGCCATCGACCCGAACAAATGCGACACACCCCTGCTGGATTGGTGCCTTCGGAAAGGGCACTGGTTGCCAGAGGACTACAACAAGAAGTGTGTCCGGGCACGAGAAGCCCAGAAGAACTTGGACGAGGAGTTCCGTCGACGTACCCATAGGCTGTCCATTGGGGACAGGTATGCTTCGTGAAGATGCTGATTGCGGTACGATGTGGGTCAGTCCCCATCTGTTACTTGCGTCACATCGACACTATTTCGGTGGAACGACTTTATGTCATGATTTATATTCATGTGTCCAAGATGACTGGATGTGTACATGGTTACATATTCCGATGACTATGACACTCTGGATATTCATGGATGGAACTATTACCTTATAGATGATATCTTTTCATTATTTATGCATTGTCCATGGTATCTGGAATGGCTATGATTTGCATTGATTACTCACCGATGTTTCTTTGCCGGAGATATGCAGACCGATTACGAGCAGGCGCCTCTGGTGGACTTTTGTGGCCAACCCATTTATGGATGACAGCTGCGCGATGCGCAAATGCGGCAGCTGGATTGTTCGTTGGTGGTCAAATGACGTGACGATTGTGTATTATATACACCTGCATATGGATGTGTGCTTCGATTGGAGGATGAATGTTTCACTTTTCGTACAATCGAACCCGGCATGTTTCACAGCGAATGAACGGTGTAGTGATAGCAAGTAAAAGAATGCACGACACGATTTCGTAGTTGAAGCCGTGGCCAGTGGAACGTTTTGTGGTGTTTGGACCGCATGATGAACAATGCGACCCAAATGGGGGATGTTAAAACCCTCTAGGCCCCGTGCCGAAATTGGGTAGCTGTTCTGAGGTCCTTGTTGGTGTTGCTTCCCAAGTTCCATTGATCGCCATTTGGCTCAAGACACAATTGAGGTTCAAGATCTGATGTGTGACTGCATACATACGTGATCGGCATTGAGAGCGAAAACACTTTGCTTGCGCTGCATTTGTCAGGACCACTGTTGTAACTATCATTCCTTCTCCCTTACAACGTTTACACGGGTTCGGCTATAACGGCATCGTCCGTATACACCTTTCTACGTGGTTGGTATTACAGCTTGAGGGTTCGGTGCATAGCGTCCCACGGGACGTCACCTTGCCGTCTCTTGACACCGATCATCTAGTTCTTCTTCTGGTATTGGGCAGCCGCTGTTGTGTGGTGTGAACAGTGCTTTGCGTGGTCGTTTGTGAACTCTGATGGCGTAGCCACCATCAAGTTTCCAGTAGTCTGTTTCCACCAAAGATCTGTCGCAGTCCTTGGTCTGTGTGTGTGAGTGGCGCAATTTGTTCTTGTTGTTGTTTTGCGTTCTCTGTAGGTTGAATCACAGCAATGGATTTTCCATTGTCTGTAGTCATTGGGTAGATGTCGAATCCTGTAGGAATATCGATCTTCTCGGCTCGTAGGTAGAAGAGTCCTGAGTGTCTTATGAGGTGTGCTTGTTGTGATCCATGTGTGATGGTGCAGTGTCGTGGATTGAAGTCGAGTCCATATCCTCTATCAAGTCGTCTTGACGCACTGAGGATTGGATACTTCACATCACAAACGTAGTAGGGTATCATGACCCTGAAGTTGTCCTGCTTGCAGGGAACATACTTGATGCCGTAGACAGGAATCTTCTTGTTGGTATCCGTGTAGAGTTTGGGAACTGATTCTCCACAAGGTCGTAGTAGTAGGTCTGGCGCGTAGTCCTTCGGGCAAACATGTGTAGATGCTCCTGAGTTGATCAGCAGGTGATGGTATGAATTGAAGTTGGAGTACATGACGTAGTGTGTGATGGTGTCCTCAATCTTCTTGCTCCTTTGCTGTTGTGTTGCTGCTGCTATGTCGAAGTGCAGTTGTGATGTGTCTTCTTGGACGAATTGTTGAAAGCTCTTGCTGTGGTCGTTCCATGATGTTGTGTGTGTGTTGTTTTCTTTCCAAGTAGTGGTTTGGATTTGCGCTTGTGTAGTAGTAACTTTGCTTGTCTGATGTGTCCAATGGTGAGATGTGACTCGTTGATGCCTCCATTGTAATTTGCTGTGTCTTCGTAGCTGTTGTCATTCCAACCCCAGCGGTTGTCATAGTCGTAGTCGTTCCAACTCTCCTCCATGTAGGGTACCTCGTGTCGTCCTTCTTCTCCTTCGTAGTACCAGTCCCAGGTGTCGTTCACATCCTGAGGTAGTTCTTCATTGTTGTCCTGATCTGCTTGTTCTTGTACTCCTATGTGCCATACCGGCACTCTGCAGTCCTGGGCCCAATGGCCAGGCTTGCCACATCGGTGGCGTGTCATGTAGTTGTTGCTTCCTTTTCCTTTTGCTTTGCTGTAGTTTCCTTGGCCTTTTTTCATTTGCTCTTGTTGCATCCTCCTTTGTTGTAGCTTCCTTTGTTGCCTTTGTCGAATCCCTTGTCCTTTGCTCCTGTACTTGCCTTTGCCTTTGCTTCCTTTGTAGTGGCCTTTCCCTTTTCCTTTGCCTTTGTAGTTTCTTCCTTTCCTCCAGATGTTGTCAACATCCATTGGTGCAGCTCCTCCATTGTAGTTTGTGCCGACTGCTGAGGTCGATCTTGAGAAAGCTGAAATCGTCTTGTAGTAGTCCAAGATGACTGCTCTGATCTCGATGTAGTTCGTGATCTGTCCAGCTCGCAGTGAGATGTTGTTGCAGCGCTCCTTTGGTCTTGTTGAGTAGTATTGCGATTTCTTTTCCATCTGGTAGTGCTGTGCCGTTGTCTTTCTCGTAGCGGTTGATGTCGTATTCCCATTGTAAGAATTGCTCTTCAAACTGCGCTTCATTGAATGTGGGGTCCAGTAGCTTGGTAAGGTAGCCAACGCTTCGTGTTCCTACTGGTAGGCTGAACCTGTTGAGTCTCAGTGTTTCACACCCATTTGCGTTGTAGCGGTTTTCCCTTGCTTCTGTAGCTCCCTGACAGATGTTGATGAGGATGTAGTGTAGATCTCTGGAGAAGTCTACTATAGTCTACTGCTTCGCGTGCTTGTGTAGGATCGAGTATGTGTGTTCTGATGCCTGTGTCCTCAATCTGTCGTGTAGCTACTTGTGCTAGTTGTAGCACCAGGTCGAAGTCTCGGTCTATGAGGCCAAGGTATGCGCAGTTTGTATCGATGTAGTCCCTGAGCGTCGTTGTTTTGTTCTGTTCCTGCTCCCGCAGTCGTGGCTCCTACTGTTTCTGCTGTTGGCCCGTTCTCTGCTCCTGTAGTTTGTTGTGCTGAAGCTGACGCTGCTTCTCCTGACATGTCGTAGTAGTTTGGCATGTGATTGCTGTTGCAGTTGTTGTAGTGCTTACTGCTGAATACTGGAGCTCCCCTATGGCCCTATGTTTAGGATCTCAGCTCCGCTACCACGTGGAAATCGCTTGTTACTTTGACTACAAGCGCAAGTGCTGTTGTATTGTCACAAACATAAACCAATGTAGTCTGCAGCTGCCAACCTTTTCACTAATGCAGTCGTAGTAAGCTCAAGGCCTGCAGTAGTGTACATACATGCAACACAAGTACAAGAAGTGAAGCATGTAGTTTGACAACTCTCTTACTCACTCACTCCCTCCCTCACTCCCTCACTCCCTTACTCACTCTGCATGGCCACCAGAGAACAGACACCTTCAAACCTTCATTGAGAGATTGTGCAGGTGCGGTTATCCGTTTTGCCCATGAGGACGTGGAAGACGCCTTGATACACTTCTTGGAGCATGGCAAGGTGCACGGGGTCTTGCACGCCGCCGGCTCACCCGCGAGAGTGAAGCTGCTCCGAGACATGGAGTCTGGGGACCTGGAGATGCTTGAGACTGGCGCGTATGGCGCCTGGAACCTCCACAGCAAAGCCGAAGAGTTGGAGATTCAACTACAACACTTCGTTCTTTTTGCCTCCTCCGCATCGCTTTTGCCCATGTTGGGCCAGCTCCTTGGGCTGCATGCTTGAGCAATCCAAAGTGCCATTTAAACTGAGCAAGCCAATAGAAGAAGATGGAGCTGTGGTGTTTCTCTTAACACGAGGAGCGCCTATGCAGCTCGGAACGCTTTCTTGGACCAGCTGGCGCTGTTCCGCTGGCAGATGGGGCGCCCTGCTGCGGCTGTGAGCTTTGGGCTTTGGGCCGAGGTGGGGGTCGGAGCAGAGGGCTTTGGCCGGCGCCTGGTGCCCGGCATGGGCAGTCTGACAACCAGGCGCTCGCATCAACCTGGGCTTTGCTTGCTAAAAACAAACGAGTGTTTTGTTTTACTCTTTTCAGGTGGTCCCAAGGAAAAACGAAAAGGACACCGCCATTTTTAGGGGTCCTGTCTTGACACACAGCCAAGTGCTAAAAACAGAAATTCACATGCTGCCCATTTGCTTCTTCTCCAGATTCGATGCTTCCTGAGTCGCGCAACGTGTTTGCTGCAGGCAGGCGTTGCATGCGCTACATCGCGCCTTGGAGTCGCCAGCGCCGCTCCTGGCGGTGCCTCTGAACTGGGAGCAGTTCCGGCCCCACATGGACTGGAGCACCGCTGCCTTCACATCCAGGTTTCATGAGTCAAGAGTCCAGACTTCAGAATTGAGGGTGCAGGAGGTCAATGCATTGGTACGGGCTGCTGTGACCGCCACGATGGCTCTGGAGCACGATGATCTTTGTGATGATACTCCCCTGATGGATGCAGGATTGGACAGCATCATGTCCGAAGAGCTCAGGGGAGCCCTGAATGCCAAACTCGGCCAGAACTTGATCTCGCCGCAGCAGGGCTCTTAATGGCTTGAAACTTGACGACTCCCTCCGCGTCCGTGTGTGTTTCTTTCTTTATTTTGTTTGTTATTTCTTTCTTTCTTTCTTTCTTTCTTTTTTCTTTTTTTCTTTCTTTCTTTCTTTCTTTCTTTCTTTCTTTCTTTCTTTTTAATCTTTTTGTGTTTCTTTCTTTCTTTATTGGTCTGTTTTGTGTGTGCGTGTTTTTGTGTCTTTTTGTGTCTTTTTGTGTTGATGTATGCTGGAACTGTTTTAAATATCACAATTGTGACTCAGACTGGACAGGACACACACAAAAAAAAATAAAGAAAGAAAGAAAGACAGAAAGATCCGCTTACCAGCGCTACCCGTGCCCCCTTTTTGCGTGGGCCTCAGCAGGCCGAGCAATTGCAACTCACGTGGATTACGGGTCTTTTACTTTCGGTGGACTTCGAGGCAGAGAAAAGCTTATAAGCCTTTTGCTGACCTTCATTCCGGTCAAAATGCGACAAACCGTCCACACATGTCCTGCAATGAGATGCATGTTTGCTCGCACGGTTCTAAATCGAACGAATCAAGATTGATTTTCTCTGAATGTGACATGGACAAAGACCAGCACAAGTTGTGTGTCTTAGTCACGCGTCCAAACAATATGAAAACTAACTTGGCTGAAAAGGCGTTATTTCGGCAGCGTGGATTCAAGTTGCTTGTAGCTTGCCGAATTGTAGTAGCTCAGCAAGGCATTCTGCCTTCTCTAAGGTTAGGTGGGCCAGCAGTGAAGGGTGCCAAGTTTGCCCCACGCAAACAAAAGAGGTACAAGCCTTTGAAAACAATTGGCTTGCAATGCCCCTTGCTCCAAAGACACGTCGTATCACTGCGAATTTCTCGCATCTGTTCATACACACCACTCCCGTACTGTTGTGCCCTATTCACTGAACAAAAACATACAGAAACGAGCCCAAGTCCTTCCGGTGATTTTGCAAAATGTGTCTCTGTGTGTGTGTGACTGTGTGTGTGTGTCTATGTGTGACTGTGTTCTCTTGCTTGATTGCTTGTTTGCTTTCTTGCTTGCTTGTCACGGCAGAGCATATTCCCGGCGCCATGTGGTGTGCTGATAGCAAGCTGGCATTCTGTTTGGTCGCAACTCACAAGCATGATGCGAGGTCAATGCTCTCGCATGGCACAATCAGCCAGCTCCAAGATGCCTTGAGACATAAAATTCAGCTGAATGACTCCTGGGAAGGCAGAGTTGCACAGATTGGGCGCAGGGCTGTGCAGAGCTGTGCGTTTGCGGGATGAGGGTTTGGTTGTCGCAGTTGGATGCCTCCTTTCGCAAGAGCAGGCGACCCGGTGGAGTACATGAAGAGCCAGATTCACCATCAGCCAGGGCCGCAGTTTGTCACCTTGCGCCAAGGACAGGGCTGCAAGTCGCCTGCCTGCGCAGTTTCCCTGAACCTTAAGTGGTTGTTGTGCTTGCCCTAGTTTCAGTCCGAGTCAAGTCCTGGCTTTGCCAGCGAAGTTGTCATCACAGAGGTGATGACTCCTATCAGCCTATGACGGTTATGGGTGCGAAAGAAGCATGCAAGATTGCACGCGTAGGGCGCCAACAGGAAGAGCAAACAGCAACTGCTTGCCTCCAGAGCTGCGGCAGGAAGCGAGCAAGAAATGACCAAGCCGCTGATCTTTATTCACACCATCATGGGGAGCAACTTCATGTACCAAGCTCTGGCTGCATGGCTGTCAACTCACCATGTGGTCGCCATCGACGACCCAAACTTCGGCAAACCTGAGCAGCACTTCCAAAGTATCGAGGACATGGCTTTATGCTACGCTGACCTCATTTGTGACACATTCAGCGAGCCGTACCAGGCCTGGCTGAACAGACCAAGTGAGAACCAAGGTAATTTCACACACACACATATGTATATATATATATACACATGCAACCCCGCTGGCTTTGGTGCCTTTTGGTGATGATAAATCTAGAGCCTAAAGGTTTAAATTCTCGCAATGTGCAATTTTGGGCCCTAAAGCCTCGTAATTTGGAGCCCGGAGTCCTCCGAAATGTCCTGGATGTTATTTCAACTAGAATTGTTTTTGGAAGATAAATTTAGTAAGGACATAGGTTTCCGCAATGTGTTCTACAGCGAAATATACCTTATACACAAGTCCTTCCGCAATGGGAGCTACATCAAGATGGAGATATACAAAAATGGGTGAGGTTGCTGTCGAATATACTTTAAATGCTAAATACAAGCTAATACGAACATAATTGAAGTAGCGTTTGACAACAGAAGCTAATTCTCAGATATACGTCTTATTGAAAATGGCTAAACCTTTAAGCGGCTTCTACAAGGAAGTTCAAAATACGACTTGTGTTATTTACATCATGGCCCGTGTGTAGCATAAGAAAGGTCTGAAGTTAAACTTGTTAGGTGGTGTTCCAAAATGAAAACTTCAAGGGATTAGAGGTTCAAGTTCTGCAACTATCTCGAAACTGCGGTTTTAGCTAAATCAGTTGCATTTTAAGTCTTATTTGCACAGGACGACAGAATTCAGTCTATTTCAAAAAGCGGAGGTAGTAGATGAGCAGAGGTGGACAAGTAGTTCAGGGAGGGTGACGGTGTGTGAACATGTCTGGGGTAGACTTAGGATACGTTTTACATGTTACCAGTGACTCCATGCAAACAATACAATATACATTCTACAACTGGGCCTAACTCTAGTCATGATATATAGATGTATATACATATATATATATACACATATACGTACAAACATATAGTACCCCTCATGATCCTGCACGTCTTCATAGAATGCTGTAAAACGCAGTGGTTTAGAGCATGACACCTACCTTTCTTTACCTCCTGGAAAAGCATCAACATGAGAAAGGGTTTCATGAAGCAAAACAATCGCCCAAAGCACTTGAAAGTTTGTCTAAGAACTTGAAAGTGTTTCCACTGGATCGCTAAACAGTTGAAATGAGGGTTCAAGTTTGAAGATCACACAGAAAACTTTCCTGAGAATCGTCAACCTGGCCAAACCCAAACAACATTCAAGTTCTTCTAAAAACTTGAGCGTCCTTTACCACTGGAGCGAGGATTCACAATTGAAGATTGCACATTGTACAGACAACTTTCCTGAGAGTTGTCAATCCTGGCCAACCCCGAAAAGGCTTTCAAGTTGCTCTAAAACCCTGGATTGAAGATTCAAGATTAGAATCTTTCACAGAATGCTTTTCCGAGAGCCAGATGGCTGCAGATGGGTGCGCATACTTGGTTGCAGAAGTATGTATTAACCCTGGGTTTCAAAAAAACTGAAAAATATGGGATGCAAGAGTCAAGGTTCAATTTTCCCGAAAGGAATTTTATCAGCAAGCACGCTGCTGCTTTTTACCCGTGCAAATTCACAAAACCACACCAGCGTCCAAGTCCACACAGTCAAGAATCAGCACCAAGCTTCCAACATGACATCCAAGCCACAAGTAGACAGGTCGTCAAAACACATCGTTTGCATCCCAACTTTTTCCCAAATGCGTAGCATAGGGTTCCCGTTTCATCTTGAGGGTCTGGGGGTGAAGCCTTGTTCGCAGGATGTTGTGCAACCGTCCGCAGCCGTTCGCAACCGTCCGCAACCGTTCGTATGACTGCGCTTGGCCCTCCCAGCGGGGAAGTGCACAACGCGTGAGTTTGATGAATTGGGACGCGCTGTTTTCGTTCGCCCCGTGCGCGAATCGTAGCTTCTCAAGCTCGACGTCTCGTTTCGCTGCGCAGGCGCAGTGTTTTGTGATGCTTCAGGTTTGCGTCGCAAATGCAGTGGGATTCGCGTTTCAGGCGTCGTCGTTTTGAGGTGTTTTGCTTGGAATGCTCGCGCAAGCGTTTGCTGGAGTGTCGCTTTCGTTGGCCCTGTCGTGCAATCGGCTCGCTTCCGCGACTGCAGATTTGCAAGAAATCGGTCGAAATCATTCTTGCGCTACAGTCCCGCGCTAGTTTTCTGCGCGCGGTGCGAGAGTGTCAAATTCTGATTTCATGGCAGGCGCAGCATTTTGAGCGTCTTGCATGTCGCTGTATCGTGGTTTTTCGTGGCAGGCGCAGCACTTTCCAACTTTTCGCGCAGACTTCGCGGCAGGCGCAGTACTTTTGAGCTTGCGTCGTGGTAGGCACAGCGCTTTGGTGGGTCGAATCGCTCTCGCTGTGGCGCGGTGCACTTTTTGAAAAAACAAAGCGAACCCTCTGCGCACTTTGGGCGGGTCGAATCGCTCTCGCTGCGGCGCGGTGCACATTTTGAGCGCTTTGGACGCTGGCTGAGGCGCGGTGCACATTTTCAATATGCAAAGGGAGCCCTCTGTGCACTTTGGGTGGGTCGAATCACTGGCGCGGCGCACGCTTTGAAAATGCTAAGTGAACCCTCTGCAAACTTTGGGTGGGTCGAATCGCTCGCTGTGGCGCGGCGCACACTTTGAAAATGCTAAGCGAGCCCTCTGCGCACTTTGAGCAGGTCGAATCGCCCTGTGGCGCAGTGCTTCTTTTTGAGAATGCAAAGCGAGTGCAAACTGAACCCTTTGCGCACTTTGGGTGGATTGAGTCGCTCTCGCTGTGGCGCTGCGCGCGTGTTGAAAATGCAAAGTGAACCCTCTGCGCACATTGGGTGGGTCGAATCGCTCTCTCTGTGACGCGGCGCGCTTTTTGAAAATGCTAAGTGAACCCTCTGTGCACTCTGCGCACTTTGGGTGGGTCGAATCGCTCTGGCTGTGGCGCGGTGCACATTTTGAACCAGAAGATGTGTCGGGCGACCTTTCTCAGAAGTGTCGACCAGAAGTGTCGCTCGCAAGTGTTGCTCAGAAGCGTTCGTCAGCAGAAGTGTCGATCGATCAGAAGTGTCGCTCAGAAGTCTTCCTCAGAAGTGTTGCTCAGAAGTGTCGGTCAGAGGTGTTGCGCAGAAGAGTCCCTCAGAAGTATCGATCAGAAGTGTGTCTCAGAAGTGTTGCTCAGAGTTTTCGATCAGAAGTGTTGTGCAGAAGTGTCGCCGCCCAGAAGTATCGATCAAAAGTGTCGATCAGAAGTGTTGCTCAGAAGTGTTGCTCAGACGTGTCCGTCAGAAGTGTTGATCAGAAGTGTTGCTCAGAACTGTCCATGGCATCAGAAGTGTGGATCAGACGTGTTGCTCACAGAAGTGCCTGGCATCTCTTTTTTTGACTTCCTTTCGCTTCACTTCCGTTTCAGCCCCCTTCATTTCCTTGAACGGCCCGTCATTCGCATTCCTTTTGCTTAGGTCTTTTTAATCCCCGTGACTTCGACCTCGCTTCCCATCTCACGTCAGTTTCCTGCACATCCCTTCATTTATCTTCAGTTGCTCTTTGTTTCCCATAATTTCCAACAATTTCACTTCGTTCCCGTCCTCCGGTTCCCTTCGCGTTTCGTGCAACTCCTGTCACTTCCATTTCGTTCACTTCCAGTGACTCCTGTTTCCCTACATTTTCCTTTGTTTCGCATCGCCAGCACGCATAGCATCATCCTCATCATCCGGGATGATGCTGGCAATGCTGGGGGTGTTGTCCAGTGTTAGGCACAATCCAAACCAACCCGCAAATCCTTCGCCCCTTATAGGGCGGGCCCAGAGCAAAACGACTGCTCATGTTCTGCGCATGGTGCCCTCCGGGCTAGGCCTGCGGCCCGATCACAGGGCTGCCGCCCTGTGCCGCTGACCCCTCAGAGAAGGCAGTATCAATCCTTTGCAGTTGACCACGCACGTTTTGTTCAAAACTTGGTAGCGCCCATTTTTGGGAAGTTGGTCGCGCGGCGGCCCCAAGGCTGACTATCCGACTGTTTGGAGTTTGCCAGCAGCAGCCTCGCAGCATGCTGGGACGCTAAGAATCGGGAGCTGTTGGGGATGCTGAACTGCTAGGATGCGGCAAAAAGTATGTATTTTTGGCCGCGAAAAATGTGGGCGGCAGGATTGCAGGTAAACATGTGCCTCGCCATTTTGTCATGACACTCATCATGAAGATAATAAGGATGATGACCGTGATGATAACTATCATCGTTTAGCTGTATTCGAGAGGTCGTTAACGGCATTTTCCAGAGAACCTGGGCAAGTGGCGCGCGAGGGAAACGCGCGGGCGAGCGAGCGGGTGAACGTACGAGTGTGCGAGCGCACGCGCGAGTAGACGGACGAGTGGACGGACGAGTGCGCGGTTGGACGGACGGACGGACGGGCGGACGGACGGACGCACGCACGGACGCGCGCGCGCATGCACGCACCCGTCCGTACAGAAATAAGGGCAGAATCAAGACCATTTTATGGTCTTAAAAAAGGTCTTATTTCTGCACGGGCCCGCGCGTACAGAAATAAGACCTTTTTTAAGACCATAAAACCGTCTTATTTCTGCCCTTATTTCTGCACGGAAGGGTGCGTTCGCGCGTGCGTGCGTGCGTGCGTGCGCGCGTGCGTGCGTGCGTGCGTGCGCGCGAGCGATCGTGCGCGTGTGTGCGTCCGTCCGTCCGTCCGTCCGTCCGTCCGTCCTTCCGTCCGTCCGTCCGTCCGTCCGTCCATCCGCCCACTCGTCCGTCCACTCGTCCGTGCACTCGTCCGTCTACTGGTCCACCCGTCCGTCCACGCGCTCGTTGCTTCAAAAACAACCCGTACGCCCCACCTCGCCCAGAAAACCTGGGCAAGTGGCGCGCGAGGGAAACGCGCGGGCGAGCGAGCGGGTGAACGTACGAGTGTGCGAGCGCACGCGCGAGTAGACGGACGAGTGGACGGACGAGTGCGCGGTTGGACGGACGGACGGACAGGCGGACAGACGGACGCACGCACGGACGCGCGCGCGCATGCACGCACCCGTCCGTACAGAAATAAGGGCAGAAATAAGACCATTTTATGGTCTTAAAAAAGGTCTTATTTCTGCACGGGCCCGCGCGTACAGAAATAAGACCTTTTTTAAGACCATAAAATCGTCTTATTTCTGCCCTTATTTCTGCACGGAAGGGTGCGTGCGCGCGTGCGTGCGTGCGTGCGTGCGTGCGTGCGTGCGCGCGTGCGTGCGTGCGTGCGTGCGTGCGCGCGAGCGATCGTGCGCGTCCGTCCGTCCGTCCGTCCTTCCGTCCGTCCGTCCGTCCATCCGCCCACTCGTGCGTCCACTCGTCCGTGCACTCGTCCGTCTACTGGTCCACCCGTCCGTCCACGCGCTCGTTGCTTCAAAAACACCCCGTACGCCCCACCTCGCGCGTTTTTGAGAATTATACGTTTGCGAGTTCTTAAATTTAGCTAAATCATCGTAGCATCCTTTGCATTACCAATGCTGCATAATGCTGCCTAACGCCACACCGTGATGATGATGACAAAGATGATGATAAGTTATGATTACTTGATAATCATGTCCACGCATCTTTTGCATTTCAATTAGGATGAAAATCATCATGACGCATCCTCAGCATCACCAGCAGTCATCATGATAATCATGTCCACGCATCTTTTACATCTAGCTTGTTCATCTCTGCTACAATTGAAGTCGAAAAAAAGAGATGATGATGACAATCATGATGACGATCTTGTTGCCACCCTTCCCGTGCGCCTCCCCTTTGGAGAAGGGGTCGGCGGATGTGCGCAGCAAGACAACTCAGGTGGCAGACGCAATGGTAGGGCGCCTTGGTTTTTTTCTGCTGGGCTCGAACGTGGCGCCAGGTCACCGGGCTTTCTTTCGGCGGCGCCGTGGCCTTCGAGGTGGCACAGCAGCTTGCACGCCGCGGCAAGCGGGCCACCGTCGTGATGCTGGACACTGCGCCCCGATAGAGAGAGCGGTTCCGGAGGACCCAGAGCATAACCGTGGAGAACAGATCAATTCCCACTAGAAGGGGCGGGGCTTGTCGCTTGCCACCTCTTAGTATGGTCCTCCAGTCCTCCGAATTAATTGAAGCTAACTTAGCCAACAAAGCGGTGAAATACTTTATGGTTGAGAGGAGGGGTCAGGGAAACACAAGGGTTGCAGTTTGCGTAGATGTTGCTCTCGGCTAATCACATGTCCAAATGGCAGGGCATTCGTGGCTCCAAGGCCTGCCCGCAGCCCGGGCACTTGAAGCTCCCCAACGCAGACCAGGTTTCCCCCAAAGATGTCATGGGGGAGCTGGCGGACGCCGCGCAGGACTGGTCAGTCTAGGGTCGGGCGCGCACGTTCAACACTCCCAGAAAAGAGTCGTCCAAAGCCCAATTCGCTTTGTCAAGGACCGATTTTACCAAGCAGAGCTACGCAACAATGAGAGGATCCTCAATGCCTATGATCCCCGGAAGTCCATTTCAACCGCTCGGGTGGTTCTCTTGAAGGCCAGGGACCTTGACGGCACCAGCCGAACTTTGTCAGGCCTCACGGATCTTTGGAATGGTTGGGAGTGGCTAATGCCAGAGATGTACAGCGTGCCTGGCTCTCACTTCACCATTTGCGAGCAGCCCTACGCGCACCGTACTGCTGCAGCCTTGCGCTTTGTGCTTGCCAACGAACCTTCAATGGTGTCGAATGTGGATGCTGCGGAGGGCTTATGGCTGCATGCTGTCAAGAACGGGGACCGCTTCCTGTACACCCGTCTCTCGGGCCAGGTGGGCCAACGCTGCGCGGGACCTTGGGATCTGGGAAACTGTTGTCGTTGAGAAACTTGCTGCATGGCATGAACGACTGACGGTTGAACCATGTTTGCCCTTTGTAGCACGCGCAATGGCTGGTTGTCAAAGTAACCGCCTAGCCAGGTCAAGGAGTCTTCAAGCCGACGGGACCTGCAACTTGCAGCTCTTGAGCTTGCCGCTGGCAATGATGATGTGTTCCTGCTGCGGAGGCTCCTGCATGATACGGAGTTCTCAAAGGAGCGAAAGAGCGGTCTGCGTTGGAAATCAAGAATCACATAGCTGTGCTCTTCATTTGCCACAGCATCAGTTTTTCATATTTGTTTTGTTTTTTCCTTGCGGTTTACCACCGTTTCGGACCTGCTTCGCACTGTCAGGAGGCATTGCTGACATCCTGGGAGGCTGCCAAGGCAGCACGGTGCTTTAGGAGATGTGTCACAGGAACCGTGGGCGGGGAGGATGGGGTAATGCCCGGCAGGAGCTTCAGCTTTCTGAGTCTGGCGCTGGAAGGGGGCAACCTCGAGCTTGATGGCTACCAGGAGGGCAAACCCATTTCTTGCGCCTGGCAGCTTTTTGGGAGAAGGCGAAGGTTTTCACAAACTCAAGCATTGAGGAACTGCTGCGCTGTCAAATTCAGAAACTGTTCTACAATTGCGGTGCCGCAGGTTGACCCGAACAAGGATAATATGACAGCTTTGCAAGCAACTGGCAATTGCGCACTTGAGTTTCGACAGGACTTCTCAAAAGGCTCAGGTTGTGATTGGAGCGGCCTTTTATCTTCACCTGTGTGCCCAGAATGTGATTGGTGTTGCTGCTGACATGACACGGAAGGCTGGATAGACCGGAGAGCTCAGAGGATCAGCAGTCCCAACTGAGTGTTCACTGCTTAGGCACCATTTGCAGAAGGTAGCCGGAAAAACATGGGGTAGGGTATCATGTTGTTTAACAATCAAAAAACATATAGTAGCAGTCAAAACCTGCTTTGGCAATCAAAAACAAACGTTAAAGCCAAGAGAGCGAAGGTCCAAGAAGGGCAGAAGGAGGACCAAAAAAACGACCAAGGAACTGGAATCAAAAAAACGAAGAAGTGTAAGTGATCGTGTCAATCTGTGTAAAGAATCTGGAAAGAACCGGGGGGGGTTGGGGGCGGGGGGTTGGGGGTGAGGGGCGGGGGCGGCAGCCCCCCCACTGTGATGATCGAAAAAGTGATTATTCAAGGATGCATGTTAATCTCAGCAAAATGTCTAAAACAGTAGCGGGGGGCCTTGGGGGGGGGGAGGGGGAATGGGGGCGGCAGCCCCACCATGATGTTCGAAGAAGTGCACACGTATAGACAGACACGCATACACACACGCAGACATACATACATGCATGCATGCATACATACATACATACATACATACGTACATATCTCAACGTAGTCAACATAAGTGCCAGAGAGGAATGGGTGATGCTGAGGATGTGGGAAGCCAAAGACAGAAAACCAACGAACGGCTGCAAACACCAGGAAAATCAAAGTAGAGGATGCGATTTCTAAGGATAGTAAATAAGATATGGCGTTATTTTCATGTCTTCCTCATTTTTCATGTCCCATGTTTTCAGCTTCTAAAAATGCAATTAATAAAGGAAAATGAATAGAGGAATAAAGAGAAACGCAATTTTACGACATGAAAGATTCATAAGATTGGGAAAGACGTGGAAAAAGGAAGTCATTTCTCTTTCATATGCTATTCCTTGCACAAATTACCAACTTATGAATCTAGATTGTGACCTCATCAAAAAGCTTGTAAATAAGACTTAGAATTGGGGATGAGGTGATATGCCGAGCGAATGAACTTGGATGAAGCGAGGAGGGAATGGGAAGAGTGGGAGAGAAGGGAAAAGATGCCAGCCTTCTCTCTCCCATTCCCACTCCTCTCTTCGTTCGGGAGTGTCCATGAGATGAAGGAAGGGGAAATCATTTGTAACCGCTGGAAAGAACTGGCGGATGGACAAGAGAGAAAGGGTTCTTGGTCAATTAGCTGCCAACGAAGGTAAACCGTGAATACGAAACGAAAGACACATCCCGTTCGTTCTCTCTGTCACTCACCAAGATCTCATGAACACATGCAAAATACTAAAATATACATAAATAATAAAAGAAAGAGAACAAAGAGAAAGAGATTGAATGCATCATCTGGATGCCTCTTTCTCTTCCCTCCGCTTCATTCCTCATCTCTTCGTCATAGCGGAGAAAGCCAAAGCCAAAATAGCCACCTAAAACAACGAAAATGAGTACTGCGGCTGCGCAGGAGGACTGCAATGAGAACAAGATGCAGCTCTTGATCTTTGAGCCAGTGCCGGTCGGCAAAAAGCGCGGAAAGACGTGGCTGGAGACCCTGGAGAGCATCAATGCCACCGACTCCATGAGCGGCAATGATGCGCCCATGAGCATCCAACTGCGCAGGTTGCAGCCAGCATTCGGCTAGGCCACCTGTGGCCCTACATTGGCACTCCAGTGATGGAGTGATGGATTGCTTCTCACGCAGCCTGGGTCAATGTGAAAGGACCAGGCCCAATTCTCTCATTGTTTTGTTGCCGGCATCCTGCAGGTTTCAAGAGACTCATTGTTAATGAGTGCTGTTTGGCCTGGCAAAGAGGTCGACGCTGCTTGCGCAAACTTGCAACCCTCACCCCCCATCTAATCCTGCTGTTTGCCAAGCCAAAGGCTGTATACGTGGGTGAGCGGGAGTCTACGGCAGTGGTACTTGTCGCCCGTGGAACTCACAGCCCGGGCCAGCGCGAAATGGCCCGTTGTTCCCATTGGTTTCCTGCAGGGAGCCGGCAGGGAAAGTCAGCCAACAGGCTGCTTTGATGACCTATCTTGGCTGAGTGGCTGGCATGTGAATGTATCGCATGTTTGTTGTGTTTGCTGAATTAGTAAGTGATGGCATACTGATAGACCTCATACGTGAAGCGGCAATGTTTACCTCAGGCATTTTTTGTATGTCGCGTCAGCATGGCTGTGATGGTGTTCTCAGTTTCAAGTTTTGGAACTGGTCTGGCAAACGGGTCGACGTGCGTTATCTTAAAGCATTGTTTGCTCCCAGCCAGCAACCCCCATCTACTCCTGCTATTTTCCTGTTGTTTGCCAGGCCAAAGCGTATGTTTGCAGGCTGTTCAATGGCTTTTTGGTATGCCTGGTGCTCAACAGTTCTAGGAATTCCGAGACATGGACGTCTGCTATGAGCGATTGTCATGTGCATCGATCAACGTTCCCCGCAGAAAAAGTGCCAACTGTCCAGCAACTATGATAAGATACAAAAGTGGTGATTGCTTCACGCCGTCGTTGCGACAATGCATTGTCGCCATGCTTTTGTGTGAATGGCTCAAGTTCCTGGAGTGGCGCAGCTAGCCTCTTAGATAAGTGGTCAAACGCAGCATGATTGCGATTGCAAGCATGCAAAAAGGTGATCATGCTTGGGATGTTTACTATGCTTAGACTGCGGTTCCTGCTCGGAGTCATGGCAGCTGCTACTTCCATGCCTGGCAAGCGGCCAGAGCTCACCCCAAGAATGAGTGCCAAAGTGTTCGGGGAGTGCTACTGGGAGGTCAAGGAGTTGGCTGCGTTCTGCTGCTCTCAGGGTCTGCCCGCCAGCGGGCTGAAGGCTGACCTTACCAAGCGGGTGAAGGACTTCCTGGGCGGCAAGTGCCCTGAAAGGGTCTCAAAGGTTACGAAGGCCGACCGCGACAGCGTTGTGGCCGGCGGCCTGAAGCTGAGCACCCCAGTGCAGAATTTACAACAACGATGCGGCCACCCGCAGCTTTTTCCAGAAGCACTGCGGCCAGGACTTCCGCTTCAACGAGTATCTTCGCAGCTTTGCAAAGGGAACGCAAGAGGGCCTGACGTACAGAGATCTGGTGGAAGGCTGGAAGGATGCTGAGCAGAAGCGACGAGAAGGCAAGCAAGAGATCGGGAAGCAGTTTGAATACAACCAATTCACGCGGGACTTCTTTGCCGCCAACCCCGGAGCTTCTCGTGCTGACATGATGGAGGCCTGGAGAACCGTCCGCAGTTATCAGGGGCCAAACACCTACAAGGAGTTCCGCAAGTTGTCCAAGTGAAATGCCCAGGCCCGTTGTTCCCACTGTTTCCGAGTGGCTCGCGCGAGGTATGTGAACGTGTTACATGTGTTGTTGCGCGTGATGAACTAGTAAATCATACGTGAAGCGGCAATGTTTTTCCTCAGGCATTTTCTGTATGTCGCGTCAGCAAGGCTGACACAGTAGAGACAGGTTGCGGATGAGCACATGAACGGCCTGGCAAACGGGTTGACGTGCATTGTCTTAAAGCATTGTTAGCTCCCAGCAACCCCCCCCTACTCCTGCTATTTTCCAGTTGTTTGCTTGGCCAAAGCGTATGTTTGCAGGCTGTTCAATGGCTTTTTGGTATGCCTGGTGCCCAATCGTTCTAGGAATTCCGAGACATGGACGCCTGCTATGAGCGATTGTCATGCGCATCGATCGACGTTCCCCGCAGAAAAAGTGCCAACTGTCCAGTAGCTATGATAAGATACAAAAGTGGTGATTGCTTCACGCCGTCGTTGCGAGAATGCATTGTCGCCCTGCTTTTGTGTGAATGGCTCAAGTTCCTGGAGTAGTGCAGCTAGCCTCTTAGATAAGTGGTCAAACGCAGCAGTGATTGCGATTGCAAGCATGCAAAAAGGTGATCATGCTTGGGATGTTTACTATGCTTAGACTGCGGTTCCTGCTCGGAGTCATGGCAGCTGCTACTTCCATGCCTGGCAAGCGGCCAGAGCTCACCCCAAGACTGAGTGCCAAAGTGTTCGGGGAGTGCTACTGGGAGGTCAAGGAGTTGGCTGCGTTCTGCCGGTCTCAGGGTCTGCCCGCCAGCGGGCTGAAGGCTGACCTTACCAAGCGGGTGAAGGACTTCCTGGGCGGCAAGTGCCCTGAAAGGGTCTCAAAGGTTACGAAGGCCGACCGCGACAGCGTTGTGGCCGGCGGCCTGAAGCTGAGCACCCCAGTGCAGAATTACAACAACGATGCGGCCACCCGCAGCTTCTTCCAGAAGCACTGCGGCCAGGACTTCCGCTTCAACGAGTATCTTCGCAGCTTTGCAAAGGGAACGCAAGAGGGCCTGACGTACAGAGATCTGGTGGAGGGCTGGAAGGATGCTGAGCAGAAGCGACGAGAAGGCAAGCAAGAGATCGGGAAGCAGTTTGAATACAACCAATTCACGCGGGACTTCTTTGCCGCCAACCCCGGAGCTTCTCGTGCTGACATGATGGAGGCCTGGAGAACCGTCCGCAGTTATCAGGGGCCAAACACCTACAAGGAGTTCCGCAAGTTGTCCAAGTGAAATGCCCAGGCCCGTTGTTCCCACTGTTTCCGAGTGGCTCGCGCGAGGTATGTGAACGTGTTACATGTGTTGTTGCGCGTGATGAACTAGTAAATCATACGTGAAGCGGCAATGTTTTTCCTCAGGCATTTTCTGTATGTCGCGTCGGCAAGGCTGACACAGTAGAGACAGGTTGCGGATGAGCACATGAACGGCCTGGCAAACGGGTTGACGTGCATTGTCTTAAAGCATTGTTAGCTCCCAGCAACCCCCCCCTACTCCTGCTATTTTCCAGTTGTTTGTTTGGCCAAAGCGTATGTTTGCAGGCTGTTCAATGGCTTTTTGGTATGCCTGGTGCTCAACAGTTCTAGGAATTCCGAGACATGGACGCCTGCTATGAGCGATTGTCATGCGCATCGATCGACGTTCCCCGCAGAAAAAGTGCCAACTGTCCAGTAGCTATGATAAGATACAAAAGTGGTGATTGCTTCACGCCGTCGTTGCGACAATGCATTGTCGCCATGCTTTTGTGTGAATGGCTCAAGTTCCTGGAGTAGTGCAGCTAGCCTCTTAGATAAGTGGTAAAACGCAGCAGTGATTGCGATTGCAAGCATGCAAAAAGGTGATCATGCTTGGGATGTTTACTATGCTTAGACTGCGGTTCCTGCTCGGAGTCATGGCAGCTGCTACTTCCATGCCTGGCAAGCGGCCAGAGCTCACCCCAAGACTGAGTGCCAAAGTGTTCGGGGAGTGCTACTGGGAGGTCAAGGAGTTGGCTGCGTTCTGCCGGTCTCAGGGTCTGCCCGCCAGCGGGCTGAAGGCTGACCTTACCAAGCGGGTGAAGGACTTCCTGGGCGGCAAGTGCCCTGAAAGGGTCTCAAAGGTTACGAAGGCCGACCGCGACAGCGTTGTGGCCGGCGGCCTGAAGCTGAGCACCCCAGTGCAGAATTACAACAACGATGCGGCCACCCGCAGCTTCTTCCAGAAGCACTGCGGCCAGGACTTCCGCTTCAACGAGTATCTTCGCAGCTTTGCAAAGGGAACGCAAGAGGGCCTGACGTACAGAGATCTGGTGGAGGGCTGGAAGGATGCTGAGCAGAAGCGACGAGAAGGCAAGCAAGAGATCGGGAAGCAGTTTGAATACAACCAATTCACGCGGGACTTCTTTGCCGCCAACCCCGGAGCTTCTCGTGCTGACATGATGGAGGCCTGGAGAACCGTCCGCAGTTATCAGGGGCCAAACACCTACAAGGAGTTCCGCAAGTTGTCCAAGTGAAATGCCCAGGCCCGTTGTTCCCACTGTTTCCGAGTGGCTCGCGCGAGGTATGTGAACGTGTTACATGTGTTGTTGCGCGTGATGAACTAGTAAATCATACGTGAAGCGGCAATGTTTTTCCTCAGGCATTTTCTGTATATCGCGTCGGCAAGGCTGACACAGTAGAGACAGGTTGCGGATGAGCACATGAACGGCCTGGCAAACGGGTTGACGTGCATTGTCTTAAAGCATTGTTAGCTCCCAGCACCCCCCCCCCCCTACTCCTGCTATTTTCCAGTTGTTTGCTTGGCCAAAGCGTATGTTTGCAGGCTGTTCAATGGCTTTTTGGTATGCCTGGTGCCCAATCGTTCTAGGAATTCCGAGACATGGACACCTGCTATGAGCGATTGTCATGCGCATCGATGTTCCATGTCAAAATCAGCAAAATCGTACACGTACAGTGAGTGCGAACATCATTAACAAATTGACGGAGACTGTATACATGTTTATGAGTGTTTTCCCAATATAGCGCTAATGAAATCGATGATTAGAAATATCAAAGGAAAACACGGGTTTATAGGTAGTTGGTAGTCTTTATTTTAAAGTTAAATCACATTCTTAATCATTATAAATGTAAGTATTTTAATAAGATATATGATTTATATTGGTTGTTAGTTAATCATTTTTGATATAATACAATATAATTATTAGATGTGTTTATTATTGAATTGATAAATTAAATTGAATAAGATTGGATGTATTGTGTAGGAATATTGAGGGTGTTGGAGTGTTTTAGTTTAATTGTTTTTGGATTTAGGTATATATGTTGTTTTTTTACATTAATATGGGTTAATTAAGATTGATTTAGGATTGATTTGATTTGAATATTGAGGTTGATATAATTATATATAGAAATAAATATTAATTTTTGAAATATTTGATTATTAGCTTAATGATTGAGAATATATATTTTTTTTGTAATTTATTGGTCGAAATATAATAGGATGTTATGGTTATAAAATTATATAAAATTATATAGAATTATATTATGAATATAATATTGATAATAATATATATATATATGGATTTGTCTTTTTTTTTGGTGTGTTGAGTTGTTTTAAAAGGCAGGATCTCCCCGAATTATACTTTTTAAAACGTATGTTGCAAGATGCTAATGTTTTTCTACCATTTTGTTTCTATAATAATTATTACCAGCGCTACCTAATACTACCATTGCCACTACCACTACTACTAGTACTAGTACTATTACTATTACTTTTATTACTACTACTCCAACTATTATTACTACTTCTACTACTACTACTGCTACTACCACGACTACGAATATTATTACCACTACTACCGCTACCACCACTACAATTACTCTACTGCTTCTACTTCTGCTAGCCTTACTATTAACTAGTACGACTACAACCTTGACTACTACTACTACGACTACTACCTTTATTACTACTATTACTACTATTACTACTACGACTACAACCTTGACTACTACTACTACTGCTACTGCTGCTACTACTACTATTACTACTATTCTTATTATTATTCCTGCTTCTGCTGCTGCTACTACTCATTACTACCACATACATCATTCTGAGTCTGTAATCAGTGCCGTTTTGCACCTAGCCGAATCATACCCGCGAATTATACCCGAATCATACCCGGACAACGAGCTTCCCCTGCCGAGACTAGTGCTAAGTCTTTTTCGCAGCGTCCGCACCACTACAGCCGCTGCTACTTATGCTACAGCTGCTACCACTACTTCTGCAACTGCTACTACTACTACTACCACTACTACTGCTACTAATACTACTACTACTACCACAACTACTACGGGTTTGTAATTAGTGCCATTTTGCACCTAGCCGAATCATACCCGCGAATTATACCCGAATCATATCCGCGCAATGAACTTGCCTTGCCAAGGCCAGCGTTAAGTCTTTTCCTTCCGCGCCACTATAGTCGCTGCTTCTATTCTTGCTACTACTACTACTACTACTACTACTACTAGGACTACTACTACTACTATTTACTACTACTCCTTTTATTGCTACTACTACTGCTACAACAACAACAATTACTGCTACTATTACTAACTACTACTACTACTACTACTATTACTACTACTACTACTACTACTACTGTTACTACTACAATATTTCTACTAGTACTACTAGATCGGCGACTCCTGCTACTACTACTGCTGCTGCTGCTTCCGCGAATCATACCCCCGAATCATTCCCCGAATCATACCCGCGAATCATACTTGCGAATCATACCCCGTACTCAAACCTTCCTGCCCGGCCACCCTAAAAAATACAAACCCATATATATTTAAATTCTGAAATCTTAAATTTAATATATTTTAATTTATTTTTAATTGAATAATAATATATATATATATATTAAATATACACATATAAATAATTAATTTAGATTCTTGTTTTAAAAGTCGTATTGATTGTGTGGACTTTGAAATGAAATGAAAAATGCCGAAAAAAATTAGGAAAATTATTCTTCTATATGTATTTTTTATGAAATAATTGTGAATGAATCGATTTTGCTTGAGATGTTTGTTTTTAATCATTGTCTTAGTGTCGATGATTGTTGATACTTATACGGGATTCGTATTGATTCCGAAAGCAATGACTCTTCGTTTATTATTGTGTATTTTAGGATTTATATTATTGATTAAAAACATTTTTCTCGGTGTTCTTTATGTTGTAAAGGAAGCCCTAATATAGATATTCGATTATATAATTTTATATTCGAAATGATATAATATAGCATGTGTTTGCGCCGTTGCATGCCACATTTCTTCTTTTTTAAGATTCGGTTTCTTTATCTCGATTTCTGGATCATTTTTTAATTCTTTTCTCTTCATCATTGTTTTTTCCTATATCATTTTTTCACACACTAAATTCGTGTTCTATTTCGGTTAGTGTTATTAACCATTCTCTTGCCCAGAGTGTCTCATTTTTATATGAATTTCGGCATTAAAATTTAAATTCCAAAATCCAAATCAATTCTATATCCTGACGTCATAATTTTGATTTTTTAAATGTGCACAAGCAATCAAGGCGTCAAGATAGAGATTTAAATTTTATAGTTCGGAAATTCAATATATATATATATATATTTCGAAAAATCAATTAGTTTCAGATTAAGGCATTTATAAATATATATGTATATATATATGATTAAAAAACAAAATATATAAATATCAAATTTTGAATTGAATTCAATTTTTTTTTCCAAATATATAATTTAATCGAAAAGTAAATTAGAAATTGTCGAAAAATCTAAAACAATATTAATGTAATATATCTATATATCAAATTTTAAAATAATAATTAATAAAATATATATTCCTAAACTCTAAATCCGAATATAGTATTTATGTCAAAAAATATTATAAATCATATTATTGTGTTGGAAATCACATCAAAATGATAGCAAATGATATATGGGAGAATATAAAATATTACAAAAAAAGAAAGATTATGTTAACATTCACAATAGTCATGATATCCTTATTAAACAAGATATAATCAAAAGATTCATATTCGCACACATAGGTGATTTTGGAGGTATGCTCCAAGAATGATGAACTAGCTACCTTGGTTTTCTCTGTTGCTCTCGATGTTTGTTTCGATCACTTCTGATATATGACGCTGTCCTTTACGATTGTGTTCCTTAGTTTGTGTTTGATAGAATTGTCATTCCTTGAGTTACGAGGAATTTATGTTTTTTGGATCGAGATTCTAGGTCTTTTTTGTGCGTTTGGTTTGGGCCGTTTCGGAGCGGGGTAATATAATCTCCATGCCTAAAATGGCGCTGGGTTGTGGGCGGACGAGATTTCATTTCCCGATTCTGTTTTATGGTTAATGTCCTCGAACATCTGAATTACCTATTATATCATAGATTATCAATCCTTTTGCGGAAGTATTTACGTGCAGCTTTTAATACAAGGTGTATTTATTCTTGCAATGTCAAAGCAGACATTATATCCCATATGTTTTGTATATGTACTTTTTTTTAAATGATGTTATGTTGCAATGTTCCATTGAGCCGGCCAACTGAAATCCATCGATTTCTTTTTTTTCACAAAATAGAATACACCCAGATTAATCGCACGCTGGAAACCGTACGTACGAACTCAAGAAACGCATGCAAATTCATCAAGGTCGTAATAAATGATACACAGCTATCAATTCCTTTCAGCTTAGCCGAAATAAATCGCAAATATGTTTGCAAAGGGTAGCCCGAGGGCGGGGCGTGCAAAGGGTAGCCCGAGGGCGGGGCGAGCACAAAATACCATAAAAATAGAAAGCATATATTAACATTCATATTAGTCATGATATCCTTGTTAAATAGAAAATAATTAAAATATGTAATGCCATGTTGCAATGCTCCATTGAGCCGACCAGCTAATATCCATCGATTTCTTTCTATACAAAATACAATGCACCCAGATCTAGAAACCGCACATACGGACTCAAGAAATACATACAAACTCATCAATGTCATGGCCAATGATACATGGCTATCAATTCTTTTTTCAACCTATTATTTTCCCATTTTTCGGAAAGGGCCAGTATGGCTTTTCAATCACATCAATTTCAATAAACGAGGACCCCAAGTCATATAGTGGTTGCAATTCCAACCTTTGAGAAAGTTTGGGTCTGGGTTTAACTATTCATATAAAATACAATAAAACCGGGATCGAAATATAGAGATTTAATCATTTGGTTCTTTTATTGATCATAAATTATCATATAGTATAATAGCAAAATGGGCATCCTAGTTAAAAATGTAAAGATCAAGACATTTGGCTCCTTATTGGGTTTGGCCAACCGCTGATAAATTGTTCATACGGCGCAATGAAAAATAGCCATCCAAGTTGGAAATATAAAGATCTAGTCATTTAGTTCTTGGCCAGTCACTAATAAATTGCTCATATGGCGCAATGTCAAAATAGCAATCCAATCCAAGCTTAGAATGTAAAGATCTGGTCATTTTGCTTCTTTCTGGGCTTAGCCAGCCGTTGGTAAACTGTTTATGTGGCATAATAGCAAAATTGCAATCCTAGCTCAAAATGTAAAGATCTGGTCGTTTGGTTCCTTTCTAGACTTGGCCAGCCGCTAATAAACTGTCCATATGGCACTATGTGAAAAAAGCAATCCAGGCTGAAAATGTAAAGATCTGGTCATTTA